GTATTTTTCATTTCTCCTACACCTCTCATGCTGCAAAAGATTTATCCATAACCTCTAAAAGGTAATTAATGTACTTCCTTAGATCCCTCTTTGAAACTCTCCTTCACTGTGTTGTTTATAAGAAAATTCATAGAGTTTAGTCTATTACTATGTTACTATAATATAGTCTATTACTATGTTACTATAATTTAGTCTATTACTATAATTGACCAGACAAACCAGAAGTGCTTCTCTTTTTCTTTATACCATCTTTTTGCATCCATCGTGGTTTGTGTTAGACTCTTTGGAGCAAAGAGTGTCTCACCTCCATGAACACACAAAGCCAACAGAGGAGACTACGTATGTCTTTGTTATGTGTATATTTCAACACTTAAGTACTTTCATTTCAATTAATGTATTCCATTTGATTCCATTTTGATATCACTCTATTATTAGATATACAGGAAGTTGAACAGATGTGTATCAGCTCAGCCAATATATCAACTTCAGGAAACAAATGAGTCAAGGCAAGAAAAGTCCTTTTTGATCTGCACTACTAGAAGCTTCTGCTCAAAGCAGTGGACACAGGGAGATGGGAAGCTGCTTCCACCACTGAGACTGGCATGGGCAATTCAGATCAAGCCTACCTTTTTCATGTGGGTAACAGCACCCTGTTCACCCTGGCTAGCACAACGTGCACCCCACATGTATGATGCAGTCAGAAGGCCATAAAACTATGAAGGCTTTGAAGCCACCACATTAGGTTGAGATTGTAGCTGCCCTTATCTGAAGTTGCTTCTTTAAAGTCTTGACAGTCCAGCGCTGACAGGGATACAGAACTGAGGTTTCTCACTGATTTAACTACCATCCCAAAAGTAGATTTTCATAATGATTTTACTCATGAACGCATTTTTCTCAGGCTGAAACAAACTGAAAATCTCAACAGATGTTAGAAAAAGACACGGCACTGGATTATTGTCAGAAAAAACGGTCTGTGGAAGGATAAAAGCATTGCCAGGATGCCAAGTACATTATTTGTAATTCTTTTCATACTTCATTTGTTCTGTGGACAAAGCTGCAGATGAAAGCACCAACAAAGTAAAACCCTGAAGACTGCTATGAGAGAAGGAAAATAACTCATATGACAAACAGACCATACCCAGGAGTATGTCAGCAGACACCATCATGTGACTGTATTTTGCTCACCAGCTTTGGTATGTTGTCAAAGTCACTGACAAGTATTTATCTGTAGAGCAATCCTCTAATTAACTTCTTCTTTTCTTTAATATAACTCTATCTGTGCTTCCATCTAATAGTCTGTTAAATGAAGTTTAACACCACCTCAATATTCAGAATGCATTAGTATCCAAAGAATCTATTATTTTATTTATCTATTCATCTCTCTATTTATCTAAAAGTTCTAATAATCCTTTCTCATTAAAAGGAGAGTGACCAGCAGGTCGAAGGAGGTGATCCTGCCCCTCTCCTCTGCTCTTGTGAGACCTCCCTTGGAGTATTGTGTGCAGTTCTGGTGTCCTCAACATAAAAAGCACATGGAACTGTTGGAACAAGTCCAGAGGAGGCCACGAGGATGATCAGGGGACTGGAGCACCTCCAAGACATTTCATTTTCACTATTTGGGGCATTTTCCCTCCTACGTAATATAAAAGAAAGTCTTTCCCTTACAGGCTAAGAAAGTTGGGGCTGTTCAGCCTGGAGAAGAGAAGGCTGCGTGGAGACCTCATAGCAGCCTTCCAGTATCTGAACGGGGCCTATAGGGATGCTGGGGAGGGACTCTTCATTAGGGACTGTAGTGACAGGACAAGGGGCGATGGGTTCAAACTGAAACAGAGAAGTTTATGTTAGATATCAGGAAGAAGTTCTTTCCTGTGAGGGTGGTGAGGCACTGAACAGGTTGCCCAAAGAAATGGTAAATGCTCCATCGCTGACAGTGTTCTAGGCCAGGTTGAACAGAGCCTTGGGTGTCATGGTCTAGTGTGAGGCATCCCTGCCAATGGAACTGGGTGATCTTGAGGTCCCTTCTAACCCAAACCATTCTGTTATTCTATCAACGCTGTTTGAGTGTTTCTATGCATGGTTTTTTCCTGAAGTAGCTGATATTTTTCAATACATGTTAGGAACTGCACATAAAAGGCCCACTAGCAGTTTATTTATCACATTTGGGTGTTAGCTGGCACAAGACCTCATTGCTGGCTCTGTGTGACTGCAGAGTTTTGAGGCTAAGTAAGGTTGGATCTCATTACACTGGCCAGAAGTAGTGAAGAGTTGGATCTGTTTCAATCACCAGGTGCCCATGATTTGCCATCCAAAACAATACAGTTATTCTGGTTCTTGGCATTGCTTTTTTAAGTTATTAACTGTTAGACACATTTCTAGACTTACCCTGTGCTATAAAGAGTTAAGAACTGTTTAGTTTTGCCTGTCCTCTTCTTCATTCTCAAACTGTTAACAAAAGTACCAGACGTCAGAGGAGAGGGGGATGGAAAACAATACACTTTAAAAACCATTTGAAAATGCACAAGATCGGAACAACCACATAATGCAAACCAGGCAAAACTGCTCTGCAAATATCAATTAATACTGTCTGATACTTTAAAATAAATTCAGCACTTTTTCTTTTTCTGTTCTTTCTTCCAGAAAAGAAAAAATAAATCTGATTATAGGAAAGAGCTCTGCAGTGTAATGTGCATGAATACTCAGAAATCCTTTTCCTATTGCAGAGGCTTGGATGGCTCTCTCCTGAAGCAGCACTCACTGCTGCTCTATGATGCATTTTTATAACCTGCAACTGGTACATTTATTAGGTTAGGTGTTTTTTACTCTTTTAAAGGGAGGGAAAAGAAGTTCAAAGTTACCAAACACGATCACCAAGCTGGTGTGAGGTAATGTTTCAGAAATGTTCTGACATTACAGACAATACTAAAAGATGACCATTTCTAGGGACTGTTTCACTGCCCCAGGCAGCAATGCAAGTTGCACTATTTCCCCCAGGTGTTGACTGGGTCTTGCCCTCACTTTCTACATTGGAAGCCCCACTCCTGATAAATCACAATCTGCCTAACTGACATAATTATGGGCGGTATAATAGAAAGCTGATTCAAGAGGAATAAAGCACATGATCATTCCTGTTGCTCTTTTAAAGTCACTGTAGCTTCATTAAACTCCTATTACTGACTATTGTGGAGAGTAAAGAAGTAAGAAGGAAACTGATTTTACAGCTGAGAAATAGCTTCCTTAGAGCTAACAGCCACTTAAACCTCAAATGACGATAAGCTCACAGCAGGCCCAATGCATTTCAACGTGTAGCTGTGTTTTAATTTCCTTAAGCCACAGGGCGTATGTCATGGTTCCAGTAATGTCTGGAGTGAGAGACTCTGTGCTGATAATGATGCAAAGTTTTAGACCCTGACATTCCCACGTGCATGGTATGCCACAGGGATTCAACAGAATTGAGATGATGATGATGCCCCTTTGCTTGTTTAGGGTTTACGCCTTCAAAGGCAGCAGTTGTCATTTTTACACTCTCTGAATACCAAGAGTATCTTGAACATCATCAGCCCCCCAAAACCATTTCCCTTCTTCCTCTTACCTTTGTAATTTGCTTCCAACATCCTCTCACCAACCTAATGACTATTCTAGTTGATCAAGACATGGTGTGCCACCCATTTCCACCTCTTACACACTGAGCTTTTCCCATGGTGATAAATGCTGTTTCCAGAGAGGACTCAAGCATGCTCCCCAGTCTATTTCCCACCACTTCAAATGTCTACCTGCACAACCACCACTGAAGAACATTCTGTGCTCTTTGCACACTTAAGTTGATTCTGCTACTAAAAGTGTTAAATCAGTATCTGTATCTGAACCTCATTTTTGTGGTTCTTATAACGTTCCAGTGGAGCAACCAAGTCACAGCATAAACAGCAGCACACACAGGATAAGGAAAAGCAAGGAACTCAAGCAGCTTTTCCAGTTCACAAACCTGCTGAAGGGACATCTCCCTCCAAATTCCATTAATGTACCTCCACCCTGCCCTTCCAACAACAGTGAATGAAAACTGTATTGAACCATAGCCATGAAAGTAAAAAGAAGCAGTTGTTGAAGACCACTCAGAGACAGCCAAATCTGTATTTTGATGGCTAGAAACAGCCCATGGGGTTACATACTTTTGAGCTTAATCATTGACATCTCTGAACAATACCACAACCTTTCCCAACTGTTATTCAGTGGAGAAAATCTCAGGAAAAGGATATTCAGCAATTTGTAGTTAATAGAAAATGGTTGATCAGTTTTTCCTTTCCACCCAAGCACCACCCCAAGCATCTCTAACACAGCTCCCTCAGGGCCTGCACTCGGCCCACAGAGTCAGCAGCTACAAGTCCATGTATTTCTTTCCATTTGATTGCATTGTTTTACAGTATCATTACTGTATTATGTTCTGGTCAGTAATATTTTCCACTATTCCATGCTGGCAAATCACGAAGTACCTACTGTACAGAATGTAAAAACCTATGTCCCATCCACTTCAAGACATTTAAGGTGTTTCTGCTGTTCAATGCGCTCTTCAAACTCACTGACAGATTGTTAAACTAAATCTGCCAGTCTGTTTCTTACAAAAGCACTTGATACCTTTAAGCTTCCCCAGGCCTTTCACCTTCCTGTATTAATTCTAATTCCCTTTCTTTATGCATTCATCCGACTGGAATGTAAGGGAGGAACAATTATTTGATGGGTATTATTCATGCACAGAATAACAAATTATCCGCATAGGTGCTATTTTAAACTATACCTGGGCTGGAAAATAGGATGTACTTAACATTGCATTGCTTATTTTAGGTTAGAAGATAAAGCTCTCTTTTGGCTAAGGCTTAATGGAGTTGTGAATTTTATACTTTTTCTCCTTCACAGGGAAAATTTCCATAATGCTTCAGCATCAGATGACACCCATACATTATAAAAGCAAGACAGACAATGTATAGGCTTAGCATTATTTATAAACTTACCTGCTTTTCCATCCTGGTTGAATCGACAGTACTTTGAGTGTTCAAGCAGCGGGAGACATTGCTCAATAGGCGTCCAGATGTACGTCTCTGGGCACAACAAGTCAGAGGGCCTGTACTGACCCTAGAAAGGAGAGAAATAAAAACAAGGAGAAAAAGAGAGTCATCGCATCAGTTGCACAAGAACACTCTGGCTAAACCTTTCCAGATTTTCCTATGAACAAGGAATAGTTTTAATCTAATGTACACCAAATGAGTCAGAAACGGCTTCACTGAAACTGAAATCACAGCCTTACTTCTTCAGTAATTTCAGCACCACCTCAGGAATACAAACTCAGCCCTGGCACTTGATGAAAATGTAAAATTAACATAACACATTTTTATGGTATTCAAGAAGAACTGGAAAGGTTTTGGCTTTGCTGACTGAAATGCTGGTATTTAAGTTATCCTCTAGAGTTCTGCTCAGCTGGTGCCGACACTAAAAAACTCAGCACCTCCAAAAGCAGCTCATCTCCAGTGGTGGCAATTCCAGCAAATAATGGAGACCAAATCAAAAGTCCTAATAGAAGAAAAGGAATCACTTAAAAGTGAGAAGGATGCTCTTTTTATTGCATTAGTGATGGAGCATTTTGGTTACTGTTACTTAAATAGCAGCATTTTCTTTGTAATTCATGGAGTTTTTCCTGGAAAAGCTTACAGGTAATGAATGATTAGTGAAATGCTACCATTTTCCACTGATTTATTAAAAAGACATTCTTTGCAGGCATTCCCAGAAATTAAGCAGCCATCATTATTTTCCCTTCAGCTGCAGTGAAAAATCACCACCTCAGCAATAATAACCTCCTTGAATCAGATCTTCCTTTGATTTGAAATAAGATTATTCACCAGCCTGTAACTTAAGTCAAAACTCTATCTTTGAGCCATTATTCATTTTCTCCATACCCTCCCAATGTGCAGAGCCATATGCTGGAAATACCACATCCATTTTTAAACTGAAAATTCCTTATACTTATCAGCTCGAAAAAGACACTAAATAGAATGAAAAAGTTTAAGGATCTCAATTATACAGGTCTTGAAGGAACAGCATTAGAATGGGCATTATAAGAATTCACACTGCAGTTGATGCAATTAAGAGTTCTTCTTGTCAAATACTTTAAATAGGTAATGAAGTTGATCAGCTTGATGTCAAGTTGATTTTTATTCCAACATCTACTGTGAAAAAAGGCTAGGTGGCCTTGAACGAAGCTGACCAAGGTTTGGGAAGGGACACAGATAATCACTGTGGCTACAATCTGGTGATAAGAACTTGATTTTTTAAGTTGCATTCACAAGCTTTGCTGTTCTGGAAGACAAAATCTTATTCAACAATACCCAATTTTGGAGAATCAGAAGAACCTGTCTTTAACGTTTGCAGAGATCCCCAATTCTTTTTGTTCTCTTAATGTTTGAATCTTCACAGGCTTCTGGTGCCTAAAGGAGCTACAAGAAACCTGGAGAGGGCCTTTGGACAAGGGCCTGTAGGGACAGGCCAAGGGGAATGGCTTTAACCTGCCAGAGGGGAGACTGAGATGAGCTCTTAGGCAGAAGCTCTTCCCTGGGAGGGTGCTGAGGCGCTGGCACAGGGTGCCCAGGGAAGCTGTGGCTGCCCCATCCCTGGCAGTGTTCAAGGCCAGGTTGGACACAGGGGCTTGGAGCAAGCTGTTCTAGTGGAAGGTGTCCCTGCCCGTGGCAGGGGTTGGAGCTGGATGAGCTTTAAGGCCCAAACCACTCTGATTCTATGATATTTACAGTAGAATTAACATCTTTACTATGTATCTCCCACCAACTGTAAATTGTTAAGTGAGAAATACAAAAATTACCTCCATAAGAACAAAATTGTAACTGTCCACATGAAAAAAACCCAACCAAACCCAAACCAGGCTTCATGCTGAGCATTGTCACATACCTGACGTATCTTTCCAAAATGAGTCTGTACGACTTTGATTTTCTCATTTGAAAAACATTCCCTGTAACTACTGTTGTTGCTTTTTGAGGTTATTTTTGCTATTTTTAATTAAATGCATTTTTTTTTATTAAATTAAAACAATATCCCTCCCATTCCATGCACAAGCTTAAACCCCCAGGCCTCAGAAAATCCTCTAAACCCAGGGAATGGAAATGACATTATTAAATAAACTGCTTTGAAACATTACGCTATCTAAACAGAAACAGTTGAAAGGTATGTGAAGGTAATGCTTAAAGAACACTTTTAGTCACCATTACTCAAATGAAACAATCTATGGACTTGGGGAGAAAAAATAAGCCTTTTCAGTCAGTCAAAAAGAAAAAAATAGAACATCATTTCTTGTTGATTTTCTCAACTGGCAAAGAAGGCAGAAATAGCCAAGAAAGCATCATTCAGATCTGTTGCTTAAGCACAGCAAGTACAAGGTGGCAATTTAGTCTTACCTAGTTGTATGGATGCACTCACAGCTATGAGTAAAGACTGCTCAACCACGTACAGTTTTCCTACAAGACGCTGCCCCTGCATCTTGAAATGCATCACATTTGTGAGTCCAACACGTGAAGATTATTTCACATGCTGCCCTAGCCTAAATTTCCCCATTACTCCTATAACATCATATTCTGTCATAAAATGGAACGGGCTGTGTGCAGTTGTGGTGTCCCAAATATAAGAAGGACATGCAGCTGTTGGAGCAAGTCCAGAGGAGACCACGAGGACGATCAGGGGCTGGCACCTCCTGTATGAAGACAGGCTGAGGAAACTGGGGAAGAGAAGGCTGCATGGAGACCTCGGAGCAGCTTTCCAATGTCTGAAGGGGGCCGACAAGGATGCTGGAGAGGGACTCTTCATTAGGGACTGTAGTGATAGGAAAAGGGGTTACGGGTTTAAACCAAAACAGGGGAAGTTTAGGTTAGCTATGAGGAAGAAGTTCTTTACTCTGAGGGTGGTGAGGCACTGGAACAGGTGGCCCAGAGAAGCTGTGAATGCTCCATCCTTGGCAGTGTTCAAGTCCAGGCTGGACAGAACCTTGGGCGACATGGTCTAATGTGAGGTGTCCCTGCCCATGGCAGGGGAGTTGGAACTGGATGATATTAAGGTCCTTTCCAACCCAAACCATTCTATGATTCTATGTATAAAATTAACTGCACTGCAGGATTACTAGCTTGGTTATAACAAGAAAGAGCTTCTTTAGTACTGGGCAAAAGAGTAATGGCAAGAATTGATTATCCAATCCATCACTGTAGGTTCAGTATTAATTTTGGGCAACCAAATACCCTACTTAGGAGGGAAAGAGGAAGAAATAGTTCTGAGGTGACTTCCTTTAGATGTTTTCCTTCCTTCAAATTTAGAATCTTGTTAATAAACACCCCTGAAGATACATGAGGCTGCGGCGATGACACATAAGGTAATTAGAAGGTAAAAATTAAACAAGCCGTTGATGATCTTCAATATCCTCTCTATCTAAAAGCACTTCCAAACACACTAGAAGTCAGCTATTTCTCCCGTAAAGGCATTTTATTTACACTACTGGTTAAACCCACATCCCATGACTCATTCCAGGAAGGAAGTGGTAGCACATAGACATACTGCAGCATTTCCCACTGAAGAGCATTGGCACTGTGTCTGTATTGATAGAATTAAAAAGGGAATCCGCAGAATTTGTTAAATCAAATGCAATGATTTCCAAGGACTTTTGCCTTTTCTTTTCCCACCCCTAAGTAGTTACTCTCGATTTGCTTCTTTTCTTACAGAAACCTCAATATTAAAATAAACAACTATGAATCCACCTCACTTTATTTTTGCCTCCTCTCTCCTTATTTCTGGAGTGTGAAAACATCTGAACCTGAGATCCCAGCCAGATTCTGCCTCATGTACACGGGAGCACCTTTACTTCATGAAAAATAATCACATTTCATTATTCATTGCAAAACAATTGCATAATATTAAAAATTGCCTCTAAGAGTATTACTTACATTCGTTGTCACTCTTGCTATGGCTGATTTGCAGTATACACCTAACATAAATCCAAACCAGAAAAGGGATCTCCTGAAGGGCACTGCTCCAGAGCTATTTATCACAGTCAAACTTCATCAAATTTGCAAAACTGGTTTTGAAAAGGATTTCTCTTCGGCTCCAGATTCAATTCGCCCACATCTCACAAGTAGTTCCATCGATGGTAAAATTCCACAGCTGAAAACATTGTGCTTTCTTTTATCTCGTACTATAACAGCTCTTGCACAGTAGCACTGTTTATGCTTGTCCAGATCATCTTGGGAATACTTAGACCACAAATCTTTCAACAAATGGTATCATCTTACAGACCATCCCTAAGCACTTATCTTATGTTTCAGTATCTTAAATCCAGTACCACCTGCTGCTGAAATGCACTCTGCCCATGTACAGCTGCACATATTTCTGTCTGTATATTTTGTCAAGAAATATCCAACAAGACATAAAATGGGCTATTTTGAAACGGTTTTGGAAACAGAGAATACATTTTCCTTAAATTTCATTTGTTCTGATGTTGTTTAAAACTTTCATGGATATCCAGAAACACCCTTCTTGAGACAGAATATGAGCACATTTTCAGCTGTTGGAACACCCACTGCAGGTCATACTGGATGTTCACAGGATAGTCAAATATTGCATCTCTCACAGCCATCTACTCATCAAAGACTTAACAGAACAGTGTAAACACATAGTGTTATCCTGCCAATGCTCTCTTGACCTCCAACACTTTGCAATGCAGATCTTTCCGCAACCAAATAACTCTAGTAATGATGCATTCTGCCATTCAATAATCCTGAACAACTGCTTTGACTTCCTTCAATCTGCAAATTGTAGTTCATTGCTACCTCTAGTCCAGAAATGCAGTCAACAATCATTGCATTATCACCATGCTGCTCATGATTTTATGCATGATGGTACCTCTACCAGACTGACGGGACCTAAACTCTGTACTGCATCCTCTTACGTAAGCTATTCTATACCTTTAGCTATCCTAGTCAACCTCTCCTTTGAAACAGAGGGAAAGGGCCACAGAGAGGAAACATCCAAACTGCTTTGTTCAAGCAGCAGGAGAGCACAAGGTAGAAGAAAGACATAAAGAAAACAAAAGG